GTAAATTAGCCTTAAGGTCATGAGTCTGTGAAATAAATATTTGGAACTGAAACCATGCACATTAGCTAGTACGGAGTAATCTTACGTTTATTATATTAGAACTAGTAAAATATGACTAGATCTTTTTTTCTAGAGTAGAATAAATTTAAATAAAAAGAAACTGTACGAGCATTCAATATAAAGTTTCGAACCTAAGCTAAATCGAAGAAAATAAAAATTATGAAGCTTAGTGTTATCATTAGCTGTAAATAATAAGATTTATAGAAAACAATATACAATAATGAGACAAGTTAAATCACTCTAAACTACAGAATATATTTCGCAGAAGTTGAGATAAACAACTATTCGAACATTAATAGGAATGTAACTTCTGTCAATCATTTTTAAAAGGAAAATTTCCTTGACATAATCACCACATGTGGATCACAATAATGGACACCGAGTTATTTAATCAGCACCGGCCTTAGACATTTGGCGCCCCTGGTCAATGCCATCTCTCCCCTCCCCCGCCAAAAAAAAATTGAATTTATTCTTAAATTGGTTAATATTAAATATTTGAATTTTATTTTATTCAAAATGTCTCTAATTCAGTTGCTTAATTATTAGGCTAAAATTAATTATTCTCATATGCTTTGTAACTTTTTTTTTTTTTATCGCTAACAAGTTGCGAGCCCCCTTCCTGGTCGACGCCGCAGGGCAAATGACAGAGTTGTAAAGCTCTGGGGCCTGCACTGATTTTTATTCACAATTTATAAATTTTATATCAATTATTTACTATTTTAGTACCATCAATATTTTACTCCATTAATGCCGACTCTTAGCCAATTAAAATTGCAAACAAAATTTAAAAGTTGTTAATATTTTCAATACCGCCGCCATCTAGTCACCTCAAATGACTGTAACTCATTGCTCATAAGTAATAAATTATGATTCATAACGCATTAGTCACGACTAAATTTGATCTTTGTCATAAGTCATTTGTTAATATAAAATTAGATCATCGCCCATCATTCTACTGGCGTTAATATTTTGCCAAATTCTTCATTAAAGAAAGTTACTTAACTGTTAGGATCTTCCACCATCTCCGAATACAATAACAGGAACTATGAATAACGGGTTAGACCAGTACCATCAGAATATCAATAGTGGAGCGATTAAACACAATAGCGTTAAAGACAAAAACGCGTTAAATATGAAAATGAAACTAAAATTAGGGTTGTCACTAAACTCAGGAAGAATAAACACAAAAAAAAAAAATGAATAACAGAGCTCCAGGCACAATTCAGATGCAGTCATATACCGTATGAATGGTGTCAAGGAAAAAAACAGAGATGCCTACACTTTCAGAATACTTAAGACATAACAACATATAAAATACTCACTAATTTCTTCATTTTTGGTATTTATGTTAATTACCAATATGATTAGATTTACTATTAAATTTTATTACTTTTAGAAAATCAAATTATATTTGACTGTCATAAAAAAACCAACGAGATAGCCAAAAGAAAACGCATTTCTATCAAATAAAACTCAAATATTGTATTAGTAGTATTGATATTATTTTGAAGTTAATTAAACATTTATTTATTAAACGAAAACAAATCATTAATTTTAGTTGAAAATTCTCAGAATTTCAGTGTTTAGCACAAGAAAAATTTTATTTCGTGTAAATCCTCGTAAAGGCATTAAGTATGAAGTTCTTAAAATCAAGATATTGATTTTTTCAATATCACCGATAAATGGTGAATTGGAAAATACCAATAAATTAATGATAGTCTAATAATAGCACTTTATGAGGTTTAAATATCTCTGAAAATGAGCTGATGCATCTAAAAAAAAAAAACTGCTAAAAAGATCAACTGAAATTTCAAAATAGCTCTGTAATATCCTGATTGCGAAGCCTTGTTACCGTTGTTCTGGAACCGAACAACTTCCTTCAGGATATCATTAAGCAAGTGATCGTTGAACTCGATTACTTTGACGACTTCTCCTTCCCTAAATCCTTTTTAGCGACCGCAATACATTACAAATCTTGGGTTTTAAATTATTACTTGAAGGTTGTTAAGTAGGTCCATCGAAACAATACTATCTTTCAACCAACTGCACTCAAATCCAAAACAGTAACAACGTTGACGAACGCTTTTCATACTGGCCAATCCACTTCATCAAATTCAAACACCTTTAACATATCATATTTTCTAATATTTATATTTTTTTCAAAATCATATACTAATTACGCTGTTGACACATAAATAAAATACTGCCGTGTTGTTGATAGGCATAAATACATCGAGGGATATTCTAGCGGTCATTTGTCAACTGCTTCATATAAATGAATAATGAATAAACTTTTTGGTCAAGTGAGCCTTTCAGTTGACACAATGACTAACTCTAAGATTAACATTTTTTATTAGTAATATTTTTAGTGCGAAAATTTATACTTTTATTCACAGTTGTATATTTCAACACTGCAATCATCTACACTGGAATCAAATTACTCACTGTTAGTACAGATATTAGGTATAAATTTTTCAATTAAAAATGTCACTAAAATGACTTTACACACAAATGTTGAAATTGGAGATAGTCATTCTGTCAACTGAAAGGCTCAAATGGAAGTATATAAAACAATTGCTTAGCAATAATTATCCAACACGATTATATTTCTAACGAAATGTCCAATTTTACTGTTGCAAATACAATCAATCGGTACGAGATACAATTCAAAGTAGATACAATTTAAATTTCATAACAATCATAAGCAAATAAAAAATTTATAATCAAAGAAAGAAAATGTATTTTCTTGAAAAAAAAAAATAGTGAAGTGTATAAACCGAGGTAAAAATAATTTTCTTCAGCTTCAAATCAGTTTTTTTTTTCATTTATCAAAAACACATTATTCTTGTGAAGTTTCGAAAAATAGTATGAAAATAGCGAATAGAAGGATTTTATTAATAATCACAAATTACAACTTCGATTATTTTATTTTTTATTTAACGATACAAATGATAAATTAGCATCAACAATATTAATATGGCAGATCAGGCGCGATTTAAATTCCCCACGATGAAAATACTTTCGGTCCGTATGTGACTAACAGGTTTTTTCCAAACGACAATTATTAAAACTAAAAATCTTTAATACGAAATACATATTCTGCAAATCTCCGGTTACAACAGCAATCATCAGTATTGGCTGTCAAGCGTTAAGTAAACGCTTGAAGAATGTTAATTCAGAGAAAGTCCTTATGAGAATGACTGCATCGCCCCAGAAGACATGATACAAACCAGTGAGTCAGTCTTACGTCATGTGATAAGGTATTCTGCCCCTTACAGGGAATTCAAAAATAAATCTTTGATACAAATTCCAGAAATAATGTTGATCATAAAGTTTTTTAATAACTAATTCTTCTACTCCAATGGCTTCTCAGATAGATATTCATATCACTTATACATTACTAATGTGATTAAATCATAATTAAGGCAATAAAAACAAAAAAAAACAAATTGCATATCTCCAAGTTAAAAATTCTATAATTTCAAAAATTACATACTTGAAATATTCTTAATTTATAAACGATTCTAGTAATGCTATTTAATAATTACACAGCAATAATAGATATTTAATTAACTTTTTATATGTATATCTGTTTATATATATATATATTTTTTTTTTTTTAAATAATGATTTATATGAATAAGTGAACCATGCACAACTAAAACTTGAATTATATTTAATTTATTTAATAATAAATCAATATATACAATCTTTAAACAATCATAATTTATATTATTAAAAATATTATTTAAATAAATCTCTAAAATAATTATCAGGAATATTCTTAAAACAGTGAAATTTAAAAAAAAGTTTTTAAGTAAGATAAAAATAAAAGAAAACCTAACCAACATACAGAATTACTTTAATTTAACTCATATTACTTTTAAATATGGTAATAGCAAAGTAATTTTATTTCTAGGAAATGAAAGGACACTAATATTTTCTAAATAGATTTTTTTTTGTTAAACTTAAAATAAGGTACTACCCACTTTCATAGACATCACTATATAAGTAGGGTCTCTTTTATACATTTAATACAACAAAATATTTGTCACATAACACAAAATATTCGTGAAATCCATTATTAATTATTTAAAGATTTATCTTAATAGGCATTCAATTAAATTCCTCTAAAAAAAAAATATTCATTGCAGCAAAATTTTTATATTTATAAAATAAAAAACCTAAATAAAAGGCATTTATTTTTTAATTATGTTAAACTTTGTATGAGTACTTTATGAACAAGTATATTCGTAAGTTATATATATGTAAGTTCCCTAGAAAATCTTAACTTCTTTACTTTTTTTATTAACAAAAACAACCAACGCTTACACGAATAATGTCATTGCTTAGAATGTACAAATTTAACAAACTATTATGAAGTAGGAAGATAATTGGCGACTCAAAAAAATTGCATTATTAATGTGTTTACTCTCATTATTTATGTACTTATACTGTAAAAAAGAATAGGTACATAAACAGAAATTAGGTGAAGTAGTTATTTACTCTAATGAGAAATATGAAAAATATTTAATGATTCTTAGAAACATTATTATATCTCCTTATGCCTGAATAAATTACACAAATTTTACTGTTTTTTATAACAGAAGAACTGATATTATTAAAGTTAGAAATCTATACAAAGAAACTAAAACTGGTACCTATATTAATCATAAACTGAAATAGTTCATGATTGTATATTTTTAACATAATAAAGTAATAAATCAACTGCAAACAACAACACAGAGCCAACTAAAAACTATGAGTGAAATTTAACTACCCTTTAAATATTTTAAAATTTATAAATTACCAAAAAATGAACATGAATAAGAATAAGATTCATAATTATGGAAAGAAAACTTTCAATTTAAAAAAATGACACAATAACTATAGGAGGCTCAAGCTCATTCTCCAATTTTTATTTTAACTATCTGACTTACCGAGTGGTTAGATTGTCAATGAATTTATCCATAGTTATTTCGTCCAAAAGGACGAAATCCCTGATTCCGACTTCTTCTTGAACTACCATCGTATAAACTTTCAGTTCACACGCACCACACCAACGACCGGCGACACCTAACTAATATAGGCTAGTTTACTAAATAACAAACTGACTAACAGCAACAGGTGTCTCTCCAAAGAGGTCTCAATGAGCAATCGCTACCCCACCCCAACTGACGTTGGCTCTCAAAGATAACATCTATACGTTAAAAAAAAAATCAACACTTCTATTTCTAGTTCTTATAATTTTACTTTGTTAAAGATCACATGCTGAAATTTAAAAGCAGATCATCATTTGTACATTTATGAAAAAACTATTTTTAATATAATACAGATCTCTCCCGATATCGTGAAATAATAGTAATTAATTAATTTTCTGCTACAGTTTAATTCCACGATAATTGAAATTTTTGCGTTTTCAATCTGGAGGGGGTCGAACTTTGTTTAATTAATTAGGTACTAAAAACTTGTAAATACCTATTTACTTTCTTCTTGGATCGTAAGATAATTTGATCACAAAATCGATAACACAGGTGGCCTACAAAAATATTGGCCTCGTTATTTTGAAAATTTTGGGGTGTAAGTCACGCCATATGGCTCAATATTTCTGAATTTCACCTTTTTTCTCGATTATGTTGTCAAATTATCTTACGATCCAAGTAGGAAGCAAATGTGCATTTACGACTTTTTAGTATCTAATTAAATAGACAAAGTTTGCCCCTCTCCAGGTTGAAAACACGCCAATTCCAAGAGTTTTCATAAATAAAATAGTTAAAGGTTACGATGAGATGAAACTATTTATGAAGTTTCAAGCGGGTGTTAATAATTAGATAAAAAGGGATCTGTACCACAGACTAGAAAAAATATATTTCTATCTATTTATTCTAAATAACCTGCTGATAGGCTTAGATGATGTTCACAAGATTATCACACCAAACAACAAAAAAGAAACTTATTAATTTATATTACATTTGATACCTCACAATGCCTAAATACCCCTGATACTTCACTGCTGCCTCTACCTCTCCAATATAGTAATCAAGATATAATCCACAGATTTAACAAATTTGATTAATTTGGAAATTTCGAGATACATAAAAGCAAAGAAGGGAATATTACTTTTTTTCAGGACAACTAATAAATGGACGATTAACTATTCCTTCCGATCCTTTGATGTATGTTTTATCTCAGGCTGAGTGTTGGTATGAGGACTGATACCTAGTGGAATTATTGTTAAAATGGCTTTAGATGAAAAGGACAAATAAAACTGAAAAAAAGGACTGAAAGGAAAGAGACAAACAGAAGTGAAACCAAATTAAAACACTATTTGATATGGAAAGATCTTAAGGTTTTGAAAAAAGAATATTGCATTAGACCGATTTGTAAGCTTTCTTAAAATCAAAATAATAATGGTATTTTTTTGTTCTGTTTTTTCTCTGACGCCTCTTGATTTCGTTTTCTGGAGCTGTTATAGCCAACAGCAGTGGTCATGCTGTCCTCTTCTTCAAAATATCCTGGGAGCGCGTTTACTAACAGGTCGCGATCATAATTCACTCTCTCTTCATCAAGCACTTTCCAAAAGGATGGTTGGCAATCTTTTGCTTCAATCTTCCATCCAGTTTTTTATGGCATATGGGATTATCAGACCTATACCCAACCTGGAGGACCAGGAGCTACAGTGTAAGACACATAAGTCGCTAACCTCCATGTGAATCTCTGGGTGGGGACGCTAAGGTCCCCATGCGGGAATCGAACCCTCGCCCTAGTGGTCAAAGCAATCGAGGAGGCCTGTACTTATTAATTTTAATTTGTTATTCATTATTTTATTTTTTATCTTTTCTTTGTTATTAAATCCTGTTAACGGAATTTGAATACTTGGTATACAATTTTTGCAGGTGCCTTAACTAGCTCGACCATAGTGCATTCTCTATCGACCTATGGAGTATAGGACGTTTAAGATAATTATACAAAAAGCTGATTGTGTGGCATATTGAGATCGAAAACCGGACTGGAGAGGATTGAGCAAAGTTTTTTGCTCTAGAAAAATGTGGATGTAGATAGCTACGAATGAACTAGTCTTTCAAGTGGTTTTGATAAATTGAATAGAATGGAGATTGGTCTAAAGTTAAGAACTTCAGATGGAAAAGGAATATTGTCCTATGGACAGATTATGGCATTTTCCCAAGCTATTGGGAAATTATAATATTATTAGAGAATGTTTATACATATGTATGCAAAAGGATAGAAAAGATGACAGAAAGACAGTTATTTGACATCACAGGAATTCGGTCATGCCACAGACTTTCCTTCTGAACTTGAAGGATGAGGAGAGTAGGTCTTTAGTAGAAACATCCGTAAAACATAAATATCAGGAATGGTTCTGAAATTCATTACGATAAAGAATAAGGTGTTGGAAGAGGATCTACGAAGCAGGAATTTGGTCTGGGGCAATAGGATAAGATCTGCATGTATTTCGCAATGGTAGCGATGCTTGTTTGGATATACCGTAAAGGAATATAATTTTATTAAGTTTAATAGCAGTATGTTCAACAGAGTGGTAAATTAGTAGTAGGTAACAACTAAAACAAGTGTCAAAATGTTGACATTTTATACAAAAAAAGGTTCCGATTCAGATTCCCATTCAGCGATCCAAAAAACGTGGAGTGGATCAAGATTTACGACTACAACAAAACTAACAATATTGACAAAATTGAATGCAATACTATACGTTTTATTGAATAAAATTATGACCTCTAGAATGTCAATTATATTCATTAATTTAATAAAACATATGACAAACCTTCGTTTTTTTTTCATGTTATTACTTAAGAGAATAAATTTATAGTTTTTGTCTGTCATTAAAGGGGTCAATGTAAAGTTATTAGTAAACTTTATGTTTCTATGAATAGAAATGACATTTGGAATAAAATATTAAGAAACGTTGAAAATTTAACTGAGAAGATTTATTAGATACTAGAGCAGGTAAACGATACTTATATTTTTTAAAGCTGGGTAGTAAAAATTCTATTTTTATTACAATTGCACTCATTTTTTGTCAAATTTTGTATTATATTCATTTTTTTTTAAAATTACTATGAATTCTTAATATTACGATGTTTTTTTAACAATAAAATTTCAATGGCTACACTGCCAGTCACTGATAAACTACATTACCGATCTAACCTACATAAGCCGTGTGCCCACATTGAGTTAGTACTCAATCCATTCTTTACTGTTTAATATATATTTATTTTTATACTTATGGCTGAAGAAACAGACAGTGGAGTTGGTTCAATGCCTGACAGTAGTAAAGATTGTACGCCTGAGAAAAAAAGGAGGCTGTCCTCTTCGTTTGATGAAGATGTAAGTAAATTGATTTTTTATACACTTTCATTTTTATTGTTTTAAGTAAATATGTTATGGAAATTACATCGTTTTTTTTAATTTTATTGAGGCAACAGATATTTTAGTGTACATAAGTTTAAAGTTCAAATTCCTATTTTAAAGCTTCTTAGTTATTTTAAATGCAGTCATTGTAAAGTAGCAGGTGAATTTTATTTTCTTATTTATTTTTGTTAATCTGTTTTGGTTATTACTGATGTGGTAAAATTATGTAATTTTTATGCTAATTAAGGAAATTAAATTTATTTATCTATGCATTCGGACTTCTGTTTGGTCTTCATAGAACAGTTATTTTTATTAAATTCAATCTGAAACTTTTGCTCTCTGCCAGTAAAATTTTTTTGGTACATTTCTGTTATCCACGCTCAGAAAAAATAATGTAGAATTCCACCAAATTTCTTACAACCATAAGGTTTTTCTTACAAATCATTTCAAAGTCAATCGCAGGTACAATTTTGTTGATTCCGACACTGGTGTAAACACTTAGAAATTCGAACTATTTTGGGGCCGTGCCAAATGGAGAAATATAAAACACCGGGGAACTTCTCGTCATCATTTGGAGTCGTACCTCGTTGAATTTATGTGGTAAATGGCGAGGAGTAAATGATCCATTTGAGCAAATTCTCTAGGGCATCACCGAATTCTGTTAAACCAATAATTATAAGCATTCTTTTTGGGTAAACAGTTTTGTTAGTAATTCATTAATATTTGTTTATAGTTGAAATTCTTTTGCTTACTATTAATTAGTATTTGTTTATAGTTGAATGTTTTAGACTTTTATAACATTTGCGTCTGGCTAATGGAAGTACCTTTTTTTTAAATTTTATTTTAATGGTTAACTATTTTTTAAAGATGTTTTTAATATTCCAAATGTAGTACAGAGACTATTAAATACGTTACAAAAGCGAGAGGTGCACACTAGACAAAATCCTTAGCCCTTTTACAGATACCAATCAGTATATTGAGCCCTCCAATAATTAAAATCAAGTCCATATAATTCTTTAAAATAAAATCAATTAAGAGCATTGGGAAAGTCTCAGGTACTTGAATTAGCCCGTGCTGATTTTTCTGTTATTACCATATATTTTGTTGGATAAATCCTTATTTAATTGTAGGCTCATTTTCTTTGTTCTCTTATCAGAAGTCTCTTAGCGTCCTCTTGATTGCCATCTAGTACAGCTATATTACACACATCCCCTAAAATTTTATGATTTGTTCTGAAATGCATCCCTTCAATAGTTTTCACTTTCTCCAAGGCTAAATTCAATAGCTTGGTGTGCATCCAATTCTGCATTTAGAATTATTTGTACACACTTATAAGGAATGCTAATTTTTAATAAATTTCTCAAAAACTGAAGCAAATTACTCATTAAGGAGATTACTGATTTTGAGTGGAGTAAGTGACCTACATTAAAACTGTTGGTTTTCTGTGGACGCAGAATTTAATGCTCTAGAACTTCTGTTATATAATTTTTTCTCTTAGTGAACTATTTCCAAGCTGCAGTGCCATTTATAGTCATTTGTCTCGGTTTTGACAAATTTGATAAAAATCAGCATTGGTTGTCCTTGGTTTTCCAACATATCACTTCACCAAATTATTGAGTTTAGCAACTCGTTCGACATAAAATTTGATGTTTTTTAATTTATTAAATGGTACGTTTTCTGCTTTGATTCACAAAAAAAGATCAGAAAAATCTGAGTTTTTTTGGTGTGAAAAAGTTTTTCCTTGGTGGTCTGCGTTAGCAATTTTTTTTTTACATGTTTAAACCCACTTATGCAAGTTAAAAAATTAAAACTTTTCCCACATTTTTCACAATAAATTTCTTATTTCGATCCTCAAGTTACTGCCTAATATTCTTTAAATCAGCCACCATTTTTTAAAGCATTTTTTAAATTTACATTCAATCATCTATTACTACAATCAATTACTTCCAGTGATGTCACTTTTTGGGCCCGAGCTGAATTAAACATGATTATGTATTTGTGCAGAGTAGCTTGTTTACTTTTGGTTATGCAGGATACAATTTTTTTTCTCATGACCTTTTCTGTAAACCACTTCTTGGTTATTTGTTTCTACCAAATACTTTCTTTATTTGAATTACTTTCTTAGCTGCTTCTTTTAGTTCTTATCTTTTTTACCTCCTAGTGTCCCTCAGGCCCTGTAAGACCAAGGGTTCGAATATTTCTTCAGTCCAATTTGGAATTATGCTTCACACATCAATTTTTCTCCCCGATTTCCTATGTATATATTTTTTTTTGGTTTATTATTTTCAATAATGAACCATTGTGATATCACAAAAAATTCAAAAACTTATCCCCCTCTTAAAATTTGTTTGTTCACCTGAGCCTCGTGACAGAATTTGATAGCTTAACAGAATGTGGTTGAAATTACCGTCAGCTTCACAATAGTTTTTTTGTTGTTGGAGCTCATATATACCAGCATGTGGTTTATCTGTATTTGTGCTCACAAATGCAATTTGTGAAAACATGTTATTTTTATTAGCACATGGTATTTATGTTTTTATTTCCATTTTACTTTAGAATTAATGACTATGGAATCATTAATATTTTTTAATTTTTAACCTTATTTATTTTTCAATGAAAAAGTTCAAGAAGTAGGGAAAATGCACCTATGGTATGTAAGTTTTTCTTTTTATGTTTCGTCGGTTTATTGCAAAGAATCACTAAGTGCATTTTTTATATAAGTTAATTTTCAAATAAGTTTTTTTTATTAATTTTGCCATTTTTTATCAATACAAAAACACCGTAGGTGCATGAAAATAACACAAACCCTGTTATTTATCATTTATAGCTACACTAAGTGCATAATTTTTGTATTTCACAAAGGGAAAATTCATCAAAGTTCATAATTATTTGAGATTATTATGTCACTTAATAACTTTCTGCTATAAACCGACGATTTGATGTATGTTTAATTCTTATATTAACATTTTTTTTTTAATATACCCACACACACCCATAAAAAAAAAATAATACAAATCAATGAATTATGTATACGAATTTTGTTAAAAATATATAATTTTAAATTATTTTTTTGTCTTAACAATAATTATGTTAATTTTTATGCATAGTATATTTCCAGGGTTTATGTAATGTAGAAAAATTGTTTTTTTTTTTTTTTTACTTTATAAAATTATACAAGGAGCATTACCTTTTTATTTATAAAATAATTGGTTTTATTCACTAATATCATTATTCAGTTTTAAGTAGTTTTCTCATTTTTATTTAAATTAATTTAACTTATTTGGCAGGACGAAGATGATGAAACTTTTTCTGAACGATTATGGGGTTTAACAGAGATGTTTCCTGAAAAAGTTCGTGATGCTTCATTTTCAGCATTCTGCGGAACAAAACATGGATTAAAAAGTAATACCTTCTTTTTTTTTATTCATATTTTATCATTGAAGGATATAAGGAAAAACATGGAATTTCTTAAATTTGAAAAAAGTTTTAATTTTTTTAATGGCATTGGATAATTTCGCCCTGCCAGCTAGAAATTTATGATAGTATTCTTAAGTCATTTTTGACTAAATTCATTTCTTAATTGTTTTAAAATATTTTACTAAGATGTGTCTATTCTCTCAGCTGTCTCAGTGAATGTAATTGTTTATAGATAATGTTGCTATTGTCTAGATTAAGTATTAGCATTATTTTATGAGATTCATAAGTCTCACGTTCCATAACAATTTGGTATAGTGTTTCACAATGCATACAGTTTTAATGTTGAGCTCAATTCGAAACTTCTAGACAGAGGAAATAACTATTGTATAATCCATGATTTGACCTTAATCTACAATATATTTTTATTTCGTCTTTATTCAAATTGGTTGTTAAAAACCATTATTTAAAGTTGAATAGATTACAAAAATGATTAATTTCAAGGCATCAGATTATTTTATTTATCAAACAAACTAAATTGAAAATAAAATATAATTTATCCTATTTCTCTTGTACTCTTCATTTATTTATTACTAATCCTTAAACAGGAATATTTTTTGATATGATCTAACATTGGTTTCCTAGCAGCTATGTCCTTAAAGCTATATTTTCCTCGGCTTTTGAACTTATTGATATTTCACTTGATTTTCATCAGGATATATGGTAAAAATTAATGTAATAGTAAGTTTTAAGCAAATTTTATATTTTAAAGTACCATTAAATACAAATACACAGGGTGTCCCATAAGTAGAGGGAAACGTTTACAAGTGTGATAGCCGACCTCAAGAGCAAAGCCAAAAAATATAATTTTTTTACTTAATTTTCTGGGAGGATTTTTTTTTCATGCAGTTTAATAAAATGTTCATAACTCCCCAGGAATTTCTTCTAAGTCAGTGTTACTATAACCACTGGAAAGCTAAATTATTGCTCTTCAAAACCATATCAATAACTTTCAAATTTTACTTCTTTATTAAAAATTAATTAATTAATAAAGAAAAACTCCTCAAAAGTTTTTATTTATCTTAAGTCTCATTTTTTTTTTCTGGTTTATGCTATTTCATGTATATTATAGGACCCTAAATGCATGCTAATTTTCGTGTGAATAAGTGGGGACAAGTCAAAGTTATCACAAATTTTGTGATTTTGGCAAAAAAAAACGAAGACTCCAGCAGCTAGGTGGAAATTTTCAGCAAAAATTTTTTATTGGTATAAAAATTCGTATTACGGAGTTTTTCTAGGTTGAAATAAAAATCTCCACTTTTCACCTTAAAAAAATATTTGAACCCACTTTAGTTCTTAGGTCAGTACTGATCGTTAGAATAGTGCACACATTCTTAAGTTGTACGCCAATTATATATATTTCTTTAAACTGAACAGGTATCAAAAGTAAGGTTCTAATCACAAAATCTGCTGTTTTATTGATATTCAAAAAATTTATTTAAAAAAATTCTACCAAAAAATGAAGTCCAAAAATTTATATTTTTTTATGACAAAAATTTTCTTTTCCTACTTTACTGGAAGCATCTTTGGGTTTTTTTAATTTATTGTTCATTAAAAAGAATTAGCCATATTGTTTTCTTATTTCACATAAAAAAAAAAAAAAAAGATCGATTGATGTATAATAACTTAGAAGTCCATGCAGAGCAGTCAGAAAACATTAATATACAAAAAAATTTATTTAAAAAAATGTTTTCTTGGCATCTAAGGCACTTTAGCAAGAAACCTCAGACATGGGTTAAATATATTTTGACCTAGTATGACCAAAAAAAGTTTCATTGCGACCGGTGACCTACGTTCATAACCTCTCCTTGTGAACCAAGTGGTAGTAGGTTAAAAAAGTAGATAGAAGTAGAATAAAATTAATCTATGTTTTATTGTTTTTTAAGGTTTATACTCCTTTGCTCGAACATCAATGTGGATAATATTCAGTAGTTCAGCCATTCTTCTTGCACCTGTGATGTTTGAAGTTGAAAGGGCACAAGTTGAAGAAGCACAGAGATCTGAACAACGACAGGTAGCTAACCTATATATATATATATGTTCATAATTTGGAACCAACATACTTATAAATTCCCAACATTGTATCTAAACAAAATTCTTTTAAGATTAAAGTACATCGTTCAGTATAGAGGATTTTTTTAACTCTGGGAGACACTAAAACTTGTTTATTTCGGAAACCTTTGCTACTGTTTTGGGATCGACCGATATGGAAATTTTGGCTGATACCAATATTCTAGGTGGATATATTGGCATATATTTTTTTTTGTCAACCTTCATACTCCTTTTTTTTCACTTGGTGTGGTGCATTCTACTTTTTGCCGAATAAGGCATCAGACAATCTTCTAGAGATTGATCTATATTCAAATTTTAGTCAATAAAAGAGTGATATACCTGATTCCTTTGCTACTATAAAACTTGACTAGTTGATATTTTCCTGTATATTTCTTGCTATCCTATAGGAACGTCCTCTTGAATGAAGAAAATGGTAAAAACAAAAATTGAGTATTATTCAGTTACATTAGTGAAATTAATTAGAGATTTTAAAGGAAAACTTTTTTTAAACACTTTAAAATATCATATCTTGAAAAAATATTAGTAAAAAAAGGTGCTGCGGCTAGGGTTGCTAAACCACATTTTGGATATAATATCTTTCTCTCAGTAACTGACTTTTCCTTCTAGGATACCTTGTATAATGTAATACTAATATATAATATAAAATAATACCTTGTAAACTAGACAATTCACAGCAATGTGTGTTAAAATTTTATGATTAAAAGTTTTTCTGAGTTAATTATTTTGCTGATTGAAGGTTAATGATACCGAAAGAAGGATGCCACTATAATTTTCTTGTGCTTCATAAATTCTTTTAAATCTTGCTTAGTAAACTTATTGCCAATGTTTATTGAGGTTGTTATAGTTATACCTGTTTTAAATTCAAAGTCTAATATAGTGGAACCATTCTTTTGACAAAAAAAAAGTTAGTTTCCTGGCCTGCAATAAAATTCAAATTTATTGACAATGTACAAAGTGCTCCATAGTTAGTTGTGTTGTAAAGATTTTATGTTAGTTTCATTTATTTATTGCTATTATTATTTCTTTACAGGCACTACTGGGACCTCATACTGCAATAGCTGGTGGACCTCCCCCAATTCGTTAAATAATCTAAACATCTAGTTATTTCTTCTTTTTTTTTTTTTTTTTTAATTTTTTTATTTTATATTACAATACAATTTTTTTGTATGTACTTAGTTGTTTGTTAGTAAAATGTTTATGCAGTTAGAATTTTAAAATCAATTGTATAAATGAAACAAACCATTGCAGGTATTCTACCCTGGAAGATGAGTCCTTGCATGGTCTAGTCTGATTAATATTTTAATTTTCGCATTTGTTGATTAAATATATATAAAAAAGTCAAGTATAGCTTACTTTGGAACCCTTTAATCATTTTATCAATACTTTCATTTGTTAGTTTGTAGAAATCAGCCTAGCTATCCAAAGCTACTAATATGTACAGATGTTGAATATGTGAAAGAAGATTTATGTTGCTCATCTCTATTGGTAGATCGTTATGAGACACCTTTATTTTTGTTAAATATTAAATTATTACTTTGTGTAATCACTTTTATAAGTGATAGTGAAATTAGTAATATTAAAGAAACTCCACTTTCTTGTGCACAGTTTAAGAAAAATATTAGGGAGCTTATATAATAAGTTAACTATGCTTGTAGTTAGTTGTCAAGTTTTGTTTTGTAATATAAAAAACATGAACTTTTCTTGCATCGATTGAAATTATTAGTTTGTTTTTTCTACTATATTTGAAGGTGTATATATGCTCATTTATTTTCATGGACCATTACGTCCTTGCGTGAAAATAATTCAATGACAAAATGAGATTTTGAAGTATTGGAAAACAATTTTTTTTACTTTTCCACACCAAATCAATATATCAATACCTATTGATATTTTTTATTCTAAGTAATTTGATTATTACATTAGTGAACAAACTTTCATTTTCCTATTTAACCTGTACTGACTCTTAGAGGTTATTAAAGACCAAGATTAATAGTTGATTACTGAACTTGTATGAACTTAGTATCCCTAAACTGTAGGAATAAACTTTCCACCTGTTATGAAGAATGGTATTACATTGTGTTAATAAATATATATTCTATAATAATTAGCAAATGAAGAGATATAGTTCACCTTTTATGTTTACCAAACTTCGATTGCTTATCTGAAGGTGATCTGAAAGAGTGTCGTATTATCTCCTCAAAAGTATGACTATGTTTCAGTGAAGTAAAAAAATAAATGTAATTTGGCCTGAAAGTTTGTTTTATTCTTCCTACTAACATGTGATTTCAACTCTGACTTTTAATTTAAAATAATATCAGATAAACAATCTGTATAAATTAAAATCTGGTGCGTGCAACACACAACTTTCACTTACCGCTCAATTTTGAATAGAAATTATTTTCTGACTGTGTTGGGCTATTATAAAATTTTTAAATTGCATTTTTAACTGAGCTAAATCTAAAAGCTTACAGCTAACAAATCATAAATTAAATACCATTAAAATAACAAAAGTCCTATTTATTATATCTCTGGTTGATTATAGATTATATTAATTATTAAACAGTTATTTTCCATTACAAAGTTTGCTAAAATTGAATTAAGAGATTTACATTGTCTTGTCATAGACAGGTCACAATTTGTCACACTAATTGGAAGTGGATACTGTTGGAATATGACAAAGGGAAAATTCATCAAATATTTCACTAATTTAATTTTCTATAAAGTTACATGATGCATTTTCGGAATAAACGGACGACAGATACCTAAATATTTAAATATAATATCAGATCTAGAGTTATTCGAGAACCCTAACAAAATACAGTAAATATATTTAAGGTTATAAACATATGCATGAAATGATTTTAAATTTCACTTCTTCTTTCACACAAGTACAATCAGATAGTTTTTTAAACAATGTCATTGCTTTGATTATGAAGATAGAAAAAAAGTTACAATGGATCTGAATTTTATTTAAGATTAACTCAAAAAGTATATAATTTTTGGTTAGGGATGTATCATTCTCTCAAGTGCTCGAAAGCTTTCTAAATTTCATACCAAACAAAAAAAAAATTGAAATGTTATAATTTGGTGTAGAGATATTGTATTTTTATACTACTTGAAGACATTACATCTACAGAATTACTAGAGATTATCGTTTGAAGAATAATTCAGAAGTGTATATTGACAAATAATGATATAAAATATTTTTAAGCAGACCCAGTATTAGCATACACTTTTTATATTTAATTTATTCCTAATTGTAAAGAAAGTAGCTTGACATGCCACAAATAAATATCTGTATGTGTAATTATTGGATATGTAATTTTTTTATATTTGAAAATTAATACATTCTGCCGCATTGGAGGGTATTAATATTAGGGCTACATTAAACATTCACACAATATATACATACAAATGATAACTAAAACAGAGATAAAAGAAAGAGTTTAACATACATAGGTAAAAAAATAAAATAGAGAAAAGCTAAATGAAATTGAAATATATAAAACACATTCATACCTGTATACAATATTTACATTCGCCCAGAGGATTCTGAGTCATGCTTTGTCCTCCAAATGTGGAAGCCAAGGCAGGACCCCAGGAGATCCCAGTGCTTCTCTCCCAGCCGCGTCACTGGTATTGCAAGCCAGTGGAGACTGATGGAGGGCATTAGAGCAACAGACACTCAGGACATGAGTAGAGAATCTGGCCATTGCCAGTATTCCAATATATACATATTTACTAAAGGTCGCGGGGCCACTGCCGTTTTAACCTCCGGGGAGGATTATAGGAAAGGCTGGAGCTAGATAGAGATTGTGCTACAGGATTTGGACGATGAGTGAGTTTCTGGTGAAATTTGGAAAATTTGTCTGGGATTAGGTCAATAACAAATGGGATATGAAGCTCATGGAGGGTTTTGTTTGATACATAGAAGGGAGCATCGACTATTGTTCGGAGGACTTTAGTCTGAAAGGATTGAATGCGCTTAATGTTAGAAGGTTTTATTGACCCCCACAGCTCTAGTCCGTAGGTCCAGATAGGTTTCAGGATTGTCTAGTAGATCAGTAGTTTGTTGTCGACTGAAAGTTGAGATTTTCTATTCACTAGTATATATAGCTGTCCGAATCATCTGTTGGTTTCTTTTAAATCTGGTATGTGGGTTCCACGTTAGTCTTTTATCTAGAAGAAAGCCAAGATACCGGACTGTGTCTGAGAGAGGAAGTGGTATGGATTTGAAGTAGACTGGTGGACAGGACTTGCGCCGAAGGGTAAAAGTGATGTGTTTGGATTTGGATTCATTTACTTTGATGCGCCACTTATTACACCAATGTTCAATAAGAGAAAGGTGACTTTGTAGGTTTGAGGATGCTGTTTTAGGACCTGGATTGGAAGATAGGATAGCTGTGTCATCAGTGAACGTTGCCCGGAGGATTTCGGGATGAGTATGAATATCAGCGGTAAACAGAATGTAGAGGACGGGACCCAAGACGCTGCCTTGAGGTACTCCCACCTCAATTGAATAGCAGTTGGAGAATTCTGTACCACAACGAACACGAAAGGAGCGGTCAGAGAGGTAGGATCGGAGTATTAGATATAAGGACTGGGGTAGGTGGGTTTTGAGCTTGAAGAGTAGTCCAATGTGCCATACGCGGTCGAAAGGTTGCTCAATGTCCAGGAATGCTCCCGAGCAATACTCATTGCTTTCTAAGGCTGAGGATATGTGGTCAACAATTCAGAGTCCTTGTTGAACAGTAGAATGCTGGAAACAAAATGTGAATTGATGGGTAGGAAGGTTTTGTGATTCTACTATGGGTAGGATTTTTTCAAATATTTTTGAAAGGATTGGGAGTAGGCTGATTGGTCTATAGAATGATGTGCTATTGGAAGGTTTGGCTGGTTTCAGGAAAAGTACGATGGTGGAATATTTCCATAAGAGAGGAAAATGGGTAGTTCTTAGGATGCAGTTGTATATATATGTGAGGAATATGATCGCTTTGGGTGGTAGTTGATGAAGGATCTGTGGGGTTAGAAGGTCGTATCCAGGAGATTTGCGGGAAGATAATTTTTGTAAATAATATTTGACCTCAGAAGGATGAACTGCTTTTGGTGGTAGAGAAAGTGGAGAGGGGGTGAGGAGAGGAATTTTTCTACTTTTGTTGTATGGATGGAATGGGATTCAGGATGAGGAGTAAATGTACAGGAGAGGTGTTTGGCGAATTTCTCAGCTTTGTCTTCATCAGATGCCGCTCAGGAGCCATTGCCTCGACGGAGGGGATTGGAAATATTTTGGGATTTTAGAATTTTTTTAGTGATATTGAGAGGAAGGTAAGGTAAGAGTTAAAGGATTGGGATTTTAAGTTGGATAATTCTTGCTTGACTTTTTTAGAGTAATAATTATAGGAACGGCGATCTGTGGGATGTCTGGTGCATTGCCATAACACTCTGGTGCGGCGTTTGGTTTGGATTAACTTGAGGATGTGTTGAGGTAACTTATTTTTCTTAGGAATTATTGGGGAATGATTAGGGGAGGAAGCAGTCCAGACTGCTTGTTGAATGGTGGTGGTAAAGGAGTGTACGGCATTATCAAGGTCTTCTGGGGTTTTCAGAGTTATTCTGAGGTCAATTTGTTCGGAAAGGATTTGATGGAAGAGTTTCCAGTTGACTGGACCTCTGATAAAGGACGGTGGAGAGGGTATAGGAATAGAAGCTAGTGATACTTGGAATATTAATGGACTGTGGTCTGAGGAAAGTTTATCGAGGCATGCAATGGAATAGTTGAGGGAACCTAAACCACTGTGGATGAAGAAAACAAGGATATCGGGGTTTCGGTTAGGATCAGTGGGCCAATAGGTAGGTGAAGTCAGGAGAACTAGGTTAAAACGTTGGCAATTGAGTGCAGACAGCAGTGTTCGGCCACGAGAATTTGTGGTTCTTGAGCCCCATTGTTGATGCTTGGTGTTTAAGTCTGCACCCAGGATGAAATGGTGTCCTAAGGAATTGAGAAAGGAACTGAATTGGGTATTTGAGATGGATTGGTTAGGGGGCAATACGCTGATGCAAGGGTAATAGGAAAGGAGAAGGTTTTGATTATGATAGCTGTGGATTGCAGGAAATCATGGGTAGGTAATGGGAATAGGTGGTGAGAGAGGATTGGTGTATAATGAGTGCAGTGCTCTACCATCATTTTTAAAGTTTGTTTTTTGGTTAGTCGAGTTTCTATAATAAGGGCTACATCAACGTTCTTGTCTAGTAGTAGAGCTGTCAGTTCGTCAGTGTGATTTCTAACAGGATTGCAAAGGAGAATGGATAAGGGTTTGGAGGAAATCATTTTAGGATTTTTTAAGGGAGGGATGAGGTGGGATACTAGATTTGTAAGGAGAGATATCAGTGGGGTAACAAGGGATTTGAATTCGGTGAGGAAAGATGCCAACAAAGTGGTAAGGTCTGTGGCTTGTGATGGAGGAGGAATGTGATGTTGATGAGGTTGTTGAGGGTCCTCACATTTGTCAGTCGGGGCTCTGCCCCCTAGTAACTGTGAAAAAGAAACTTTAGAGTCAACTATTTTAGCAGGTCCTCTTCTGAGTTTAGAGATTTCTTCTGCGAAATTTATTTTTGTAGACTTGGCAGCCCTTGTGGTTGGCAGGATTTCCTTCCAGGCATAAAGCACATACAGCGGGAGTAGATTTAATTTTATTACATTCACTAGTCTTGTGTGACTCTCCGCATTTCACGCATCTTGGAATGTGGTGGCAGTAAGTTTTGGTGTGATCATTTGCCTGGCAATTATGACACTCGATTTCTCTTTTAGTGTATGGTTTTTCAACCTTGACACTAGTATAATATAATTTTCTAATTTCATATATTTTATCAACTCCTGCTGAAGGTTCTAAATCTATGAAAAATATGGGTAATGGTATTTTCCTATTAGCACCGGATACATCTCTGTCGTCCTTCATTACATTGGTGACCTGTCGGACTTTGAAACCTAGGGCCATCAGTTCTTCTTGGATCGCCTCGACTGGAGTAGAGGGGTGCAAATTTCGAATTACTACCCTCAGGGAACGCTCCTGCCTCAATTGGTAGGTGTGAAAATCTGGCTTTGTGTCGGATAGATATTTAATAATTTGGCGGTATGAATCAGCTGTGGCCGGGGATATTTTAATATCATTAGTCCGGCTTAAACAGGAGTTTTAATTTTATTTAAATGTGTGCATAATAACAGGAATTTTTTTAAATTTTTAATGAAAATTGGAGGAGGTCGAGGTTCTCTGGGAATGGGTGCAGATTCCATTGCCTCTTTTTCATTTTTCAGTACTTTGTAAGGATTCGGAGTGAAAAAGGGAGACTCGTCTATTGTAATTATTTAGAAAAATAAACCATTGTATAATAATTTCTGATGCCTTATGTTTTAGATTGCTGTGATAGATTGGATTTCTGTTTATTTTCCTTATGATCTACTTATTTTCTGTAATATTCTACTGGATTTAAGCTGTGACTATCCTAGTATTTATTTTATGAATATAATTTAGTATTGAACTAGAATTTTTATAATTCTGCATTTACTGAAAAATCAGGGAGCAATAAAATTTCTTGGGAAGGGGCATGCACCATTATTCTCGGGGTAAGAGGGGAACATTTCTGATGCGTACCAAATGAGCACTATGCTAAACGAAATAGCTTCATTCCAAAAGAATGTCATATTAAATCTGCAAAATCGAAATGGTATCATAAAATATTTTGTACAGTGTATGTTGCTTTTATGTCCTACAGATGGTGCTGATATCCATACTAGATATGCTTTTTTTTTTATAGTCCACATTTTACATTGCTGAATAAACTACAAGAATCACTTTAAATGATCTTATGCCCTTTTATATTTGTGCAGCAGGTACTAAATTAAATGTCTGTTTAAAAAAAAAACATACCACTGCAACCCATGAAGAGTTTTGGATCCAGTACTTTACTTTCGTTCCACGGCTGATGACACAGAATAAATAATTTATCTACCATCAGCTAGGATTCAAACCTGAGATCTTGAGTGTTGGTAGTCAGCAATGAACTATCCCACTTTTTTAAAATAGGTAAAATTTTGGGAAGAATTAAAGTTGTTTTTTTTAATTTCATTTGATTGGCAAAGCTATTCAATAGTGTTTTTGTTCTTTTCGGTTTATATTTTTAGAATTATGAAAAGGGAGTTAGAGTAAAGCAGATCCCTCATACAGTAAATGGTGAATTATAAGGGATAATTGAGAAGTTTTGATAATTTAGTCATTATTTTTTTAGTGGTGAGAATCTCTTTTCCAAATCAATAGTTTGATTGTTTTGAGTTATTTTGTATAATTATATACCATGAAAGAGTAAGAGGTGACTGATACGATGCATCTTCTTTCTCTGAGTCTCAGTCATTATCTAAGATTTATGCTATATTATTTTTATTTTTTTTAAATCAATTGGTGGATTCTTAAATTAGTTAGAAAAATAATCATATTAATACAAAACATCTTCACTAAAATAGAAAAATAAAGGAAATAATATAACACATATATGATCCATAAGTACTGCAATGTGGAGCTTTAATTTTTTTTTTCCTTACAGCTGTTGACTTCGACTTTTAAGTCATGAGTCTTCCTCTACAGGAGCTGTTATAGGCGACAGTAGTGATCATTTGGTTCTCTCTTCTTTGAGCACTTCCAGGGAGCACGTGAATTACTAATCGGACGCAATCACATTTCACTCCCTCTTCATCAGGAACTTTCCTGAAGATTGCCAACCATCTTCTGCTTCAATCTTCTACCCAGTTTTTTTTATGGGATAGAGGATTATCAGCCCTATACTTAATCCCCAACCTGGAGGTATGGTCTAAGACACAAGGGTCACTCATCTCCCTATGATTCTCAGGTTGGGGATGTTACCGTCTCCATGTAGGAATCGAACCCACACCGTAGTAGTCTAAGTAGTCGAGTAAGAACTGCTCTTATTAATTTTAATTTTTTTTTTTTTTTTTTAGAGAGAGAGATAACTAATGTTTATTAGATTGTTTCATATTCCAGCATCAAGAATTTTAATAAAAATACATTTTTAAAAATATTTTTCATTTTTAAATATACATTAATAGATGAATTATGAAAGTATCAGAAACGAATGATATCACATATCCAGAATCCAAAGGGGCTCAACTCAAAAAAATATGTTTTTGTTAAAACGAACATGCCATATGTAATTAAAAGTTTACTAGCAAGACAATATGTTATATATTTCAGGGTCAACAAAGCTTTGGATTTTGATAAAATGAGTTATGCTAGATTTTATATTTTGTTTGTATATAGACAAAGGAAGTGAAAAACTTCAAATCCGAGTTCTCAGTGGAAATTCAGTTCCTTGAATCCAAATAAACACATTTTGCAAAATAGTCTGTGTGAGGAGAGTGTCATCCTAGCTCAAAAATGAAAGGTCATAGAAAACTGAAATTACGTGTTTATATATAAAGTAGGAATTTTACTGCTGTTTTTTTGCTAAAATTGACTAACCAAAGAAGTGGCACTTTATATCATTGACTTTACACATTTTTACGATTTCCTCAAAAACGAGATTTTGATTAAACTTATTATACCAATGAAAAATCAAGTGATCTTTAATATCAGGCAGGTAATATCCTCATCAAATATTCTGACTGAATTTTGAAATTTTCTTCCTTTGAAGTACTTTTAATTATGTGTATTTAAAACAATTAACCATTTCATATTGTCAATAGTGATGAAAAATGATTAAATAGAAACTATAAATGAATTTGATAATTAATTAAAGGAAAATTGAGAATAAGTAAAATGGGGCCAAGAATAACCATAAAACATACCTGGTGAGTAGATTTGTGCCAACAGAAGAAAAATAGAAAAATTTATTCTTTGCTTAAAATATTCTACATTACTTTCCAGTCCAAAGGAGGTCTCCAGAAATCCTAATGAAATATCAACCAGATTGGTAGAAAAATCAACCTTAGGACCCCAGAAGAAGTTAAGAAATAACTAAGCACTAGAAATCAGTGTAATGCCTAAAGTTGGGGGGAAAAGAGTTACGAAATTTATCAATCCATTATAAAAATATGGATTCAGCTACCTATGTCCAATAAATTAATCAACTTATATGGCTTTTTATGATTGATCTATTGGTTGTGAGGGCCGAGTACATTGAAACAAGAGCCAAGTTCAGAGTAGTGTGGGTTACATTCTCACCTGGATCAGTTAATGTTGTTGCAAAACCTTTAAATGAATCTCAATATTCCCACTCCGGTTAAGAATTAAAAATTATATTTCCTCCTTATTGAAAATTTAAAGAGTGGAAATTTTTTATTAGTTCATTTGGTTTTGTTTTTACTTACATATCTTTCATTTTCAAGAGCTCTAAATTGCTTTAAGGATTTAAAAAAAAAAATTGAAATAAAAAAAAATTTCTAATTGTCAAATCAGGTTTCTTTGTTTTATTATTTTTTGTTTTTAATTTCCTCGTTATAGAAAATTTCATAAATAAAAATGAAATATTGTCTGAAAATTGATTCTAAAAAATATACAATGTTTAAGAAACCAATCACTTCCACTTTTGTAAGATTTAACTGTTCTATCTTAATAATTTCATACATTGATAGGTCTATTATTGAACTTTCAAATAACATCTCAATTAACTAAAATTTTCAATGAGGTCTTCTACAAAAGAACAATAGTTCATACATAGTTCCAATAAACGATCCTAGTTTTTATGAAGCTCAAAGTTAAGTCAGTGTATACATATCTGATAATGAATCATGCATATAAAAATAAATAAAAAATACAATTTAGTGGTAAATACATTTTAAAAGGTTCCACTGTATTGAACTGCTTTCAAGGAACTTTCTATCTAATCTTGATATTGATAATATATATAATCCTCTTTAGGACTTTCTTGAATGTTATCTGGCACATAGTTATTTTCAAGTTTATTTGCAACAGGCGCTGCTTTGTTTTGTTCTGTTTTTAAACTATCATAGTTTTGTATCTTAGGGGTATTCACCATAGCATTCCTCCAAAAGTAGGCTGTTGCAGGAATGCTCCCATGAACTAAATTAACTTTGCTTGTGGGATTTCCAAAGGAAGAATTCATATTTGGATTTGTTCCCATAACATTAATTGGTGCTGACATCATGGTTTTATCGGGATTATTGTTGAATAATTTATCACCATTACTCTCCAAATGCCCTTTGTTAGAAGCTTCTAGAGGTAATTTGGCCACTGACTGAGAGTCAGATAACTGAGCAGCAGCTTGTTGAACAATGGGATTTGCTATAGGCTTGGCAGCTTGTTGGTTCTGTTCTACTCTTGAGGAAAACAAAGTCTGCTGTTTTAAAATCTGTTGTTGGTCATTTGCACTATATGGTGTTTTTTGAGTCCCCTGTTGTTGTTCTGAACCTAGAATTGTTCCCATTAGAGTTTTTTGGCGTTCCGAATTACCAACTGCTGGTATAATGGCAGAATGTTGTTTTTCTATGGTTTGAAGTAGAAGTTGGTTATGCTTTTCCAATGATTGAAGTTGTGAGTTATCTTTCTCAGCAGTTTGGAGTTGCTTTTGCTTTTGTTGTTCAGCAGATTGAAATAGCTGTTGCTTTTGTTGTTCGGGGGTTTGGAATTGCTGTTGTTCAGCAGTTTGGATTTGCTGTTGCTTATATTGTTCAGCAGTTTGTTGTTGCTGTTGCCTTTGTTCAGGTGTTTGGAGTTGCTGTTGATTCAGTTTATCTAAAGTTTGAAATTGCTGTTGGTTCTGTTTTTCTAAATTTTGATATCTCGGTTGTTCTTCAGTTTGGAGTTGTTGTTGGTCTTGCTTTTCTAACGACTGATGATGTGTCTGTTTTTCTGAATTTTGGAGTTGTTGCTCTAAAAGCTGTGGTTGTATAGTGGATTGTTGTGCAGGAATTTCTTTAGATAGCTTATAAACTTGCTGTTGGGTTTGTGTAACATCTGATATTTTGCTGTCAAATTCCTGATTTTTTTCATCGTGTACCATAGCAAAGGACTCTACTTGTCCTTGTCCAGCTCGGTCTCTCTGTTCACTTACTTCACTTGGTGTTTGTTCAATGTCTGGCTGTTTCTGGGGAGCCATTTCAGCCATTGCCACATTTTGAACGTGTGGTTGTTCAATAACTTGAGAAGGAGAAGGCTGCCCAACAGCCTGTGTTTGCTGTGAAACTGTTTGAATCATTGGTAATTGTGGACTGTTTACTTGTTGCTGCAATGATTCTGGAAGCGCTACAAGTTTGCTTGCTTGAGGTTCCTGTGATTTTACCTGAGCATCATTTTCATTCTGGTTTTCATCAATTGATGAATACTGTTCATTTTGTTCTACTTGGGCGGCATACCACTTTTGTTGCTGACCCTCTGAAATATGTGGGTTTTCTCTGTTTTGAATGACGTCAACCGAAGGTTCTGCAATAAGCTTTCCATATGCTGCTACTTTAGGCCTGCTAATGATTCCTTTCGTTTCGAATTGTTTTTGTGGAGGATTCTGAACTACTTTATCACTCACTTCTTTTTGTGGTGACGAAGGCTTTTCTTTGTTCAGTTGCTTTAGCTTGGATGTTTTATGCTGAAATGAAAAAATATATACTAAGCCTTGTTGAAATTTTATAAACATTTAGTCATAAAATTTTATATATGATGAATCGAATGGTTAACCGGTAACATGCAATTATTCATTCTCCTAATGTCTAGATTATCCGAAATAATAACCAAGAAAAACATTTTGATATTATTCTAATCCATTTAAAATTGATGCCTTAAAAAAACAACTTAATCCTTATCAATGGCTTACATAATTGAAACCACGATTGTTGGCAGGACTTATACCATAGGAGTTACATGCTTTTAACTTTAGAGAGGATACGAAGATCATCGAATGTTAGTTATATATCATTGTAAAATACTAATTTGGGGCTAAAGATATAATCAGAATACTCAGTTTCAGTTTGAAAATACAGAAAAATAAAATTCTGATTTACAATCATGCTATTTTAACGGTACTTTTACCAATTTGTAAATTTATTTCAAAATAAGTTGCAATGGCATGTGCACCCCCTCTAGAGGGACTTCCCGACGCTATGTCTATGCTCTATACATAAACAAATTATTAAATAAAAAAACAGACCATAATTTACAATATTCCGAGTTTAAAGATAAATCGGGATCTTTATGTGGGAGAGCGGTAAAATGTTAGGGTATTCCAAATAAATTGTCAACTCAGAGGCCATAATTTAACATTTTGTATATAGATTTGTTTGCTGATTTTTTTTAGAGTTCCAAAATCATTAAGTAAGGATATTAAGTGGCTCTTTGTTATCCGGAGTATACATGCGGTACTTCGCTCTAATTGAACTGCCTCCCAAATTTAGTTTTCTCTGCGCAGAGTTGATTGCTGTGTGGACTAAGAGGAGAAGGATGGCGAATTTTGCGTCAACCGCTTCCCTTTAACAAGAAATCCAAATTAAAAAGAAGAAATCATCCGATAAAGGCATCCTTATATTTTTTACACTGAGCCTCATCTTTAAGAGATGTGAAATAATATTAAAAGTGTCTTTAGCTTAAACCATTTCCTTTTTTGCTCTTGCATAGTTTCGCAAACCTTTGAACTATTTGGAATATCTTATTAATGATAGGATTGATTCTATTTCTCCTGTACTATGAAAATTCGTACCATGTGCAAGAGAAATATGTTCCATTACTCACGGGGCTTGCCGATGGCTGCCTTACTAGAGCAGACTCCGTCCTCTTCTCGACCTCCACCTGGCGTCCAAGAGGAAGCCTGGTCGTCATTCCAGGTCGGATAGCGAAAGCATTAACCGCACCCGGTGCTTCTTTTGATTGTGGAGCAACTGTGTTCTTTGTCATTTTATTAGTGTTAGATTTATCACCACTTCCTTTCTTAGTTGTACACATATTATCGTCTACATCCACAATGCATGGAGGTTGTTCAGTTGTAATATTTCTATGTGCTTTCGCCAGTTCAAGAACTTTAAATATGTCAAATTCTTTTCCTGTAAACATTAAATTGTGGTAGTATATATGTATATGAATTTAGCTTAAATCAATTCATTGAAACATATCATATTCGCATTAGTGATGAAACTAGTATAATAGGTTAATTCCAAATGAATGTGTTACCTGCAGGTTTCTAAAATAAGACTGTTGTTTATTTACTACAAAAGATATGCATATATTTTAAATATCTGTAAATGTTTTTAATAGTTGTATTTTTTCATTAGCAGTAATATAAATACTTGATAATATCTAAGAGATAATTTTTCATTCCAATATATTCAATTCTAAAGTCGAATGTATGAAAATGTATTCCTCCAAACTTCATTCTTATTCATATCTATAGTCGTGAAACAACAAGGAGATTTGAACTCAATTTGTAACAAAACCTTAAAAATTCAAGATGTAAATTTGCTTTGAAAAATCTTTAAAAAAATAAATTACCCATAAATGTTACTATATTTTGAAACAAATTATAGCTGGATAAATTTTAAAAAAAATTTTAAAAAATCTTAAAATAATAGGCTAATGATAAATGTTGGAACGTCATTCATTGCATAAGTCTAAATGGAACTGGGGAATATAAAGAGTATAGGCAGATTGTTAACACTAACTGCCTTTGCAGTTGCCCCAGAGGTAATTACGAGGATTAATACGACAGCGCGAGGAGCAGTGGCATAGGCTGAATGTAAAGTAAGCACAACGTTCATAATGTTCGAATGTTAGAGGGATACAAAAGAATAATGAAATAAACACACATATATTTTAGGATAATGAATGCTATTTTTCAAGCATATATGGATAATGAAATAAATTCAAGCTCCTGGAGAAAGAAGAAAGAAAAAAGAGAGAGTTTAAGTCTGGCTGGAAGAGAATAAGATGTATATTATTACTCCAAAAAAATAAAGGTCAGACCGTTAATACTCCTAGAGCAGAGAGAAGAGAGCGGTAGAAACATATTATATACTATATTTGGCCATTTACACACCGAAATAAATGAAAATATTTAACTCAAACAAATATGGTTCCTGAACACCTATGTTACACTAGTAAGAACAAATTTTAAAGTAAAATAAAGCAATGGATAATCATGCCTCAAATGGGTCCTGCACCCATGGACATTAATCAGGTAAATTGCGTTATTGTAAGTCATACCTGCGAACAGAACATACCACAGTTGAAGACTTGCGGGACAAACTTGAGCTCCTTGTTGAGGTCAGTTTGGTTATCGTAAAGTATATCCATTTTGGACATGAGCTGGGAATCGAAGGAGTCCTTGATCATGAGGTCGGTGAGAGTGGCCAGGCTGTTCCTCTCCCTCTCTTTCCGCTCCACTTGCTCCTTCGCCTGCCGCAGCCACCGGATATTATCTTCCGCTTGCTTTATTATCCCTGCTTTGTTGTAACTTGCATTTTCATCAGCAAAGCCTTTGACAAAAATATAATAAATGCATTATTCATATTCAATCAGAGCCTCTTTAATATTCTAAATATGCTTATATTATAGTAGTAGTAATATCTAATGGAAGCACCAATGCGCATTGTATACTTACCTATCTCGCTCTGAACCCCATTCGATGAAGTGTGGTCTATACTCTACTCTGTTTCAGTGATCTAAGCCTGATTAATTCAAATCTAAGGACAGTCGCATACCAGTTATTCAGGTAGGAAAGTATCAATAACGTCGTAAAACATATTGGGCGGTCGCTCCACAAAATCTTAATGTCAATTGTTAGCTAGAATTATTGGCCAAACAAAACATTCAATATAATATAATTTATACTGAAGCCATTTGTTACAAAAAAACTATGAGATGAAAGATCAGCGAATTGAGACTCCTCAACAAGGGCGGAGATAAGGATAAACAATTCCCTGCGATAAGCAAAGCCCTGGAGAACCTCATGATGGCCCTGTTCACGGATTGTTTTTGACCGAGCAATCAATCTACTGGCTCGACAAGAGGCAGAGAAATCGACAATGCCGTGCTAAGAGTGCGCAAAGATGTCGAGACGAAGGCCGAGCGGTGCGTGATGCTTCCACTTTTTGATATATTTTCCGTCTTCGATAGTTGACAAGCGTGTACCGGCAGCTGCAGAGGTACGATGCACCCAGTAAACCTGTACGCTCTACTAAGACGTTATCTTCAAGATAGGTGTGAGTGAAGATTAGAGGGAGCAATTACGAGGTAGCAGCTTCCATAGAGAAGGTATGTCCCCAAGGACTGGTTTATACTCCTTGGTCCTGTTTTATGGATGTTTGTATTCGAAGAGTTATTGGGGCGTTAGAAGAGGAGTGGTTCCTTGTCACGGCTTTCGTAGATGACTTAGTTGCTGACTTACAAATACAATAGCATGAAAAGACTTGTAGAGAATCTATCTATTGGTAGCACTGTAATTAGCTGCTGATTAAATAGTAATAGTCAAGGCAGAAGGTTTAAAAATCTTGATGGTGTTAAGTTAACGGATCCAAATAGAGTGTGTTTAAACATTTCGAACTGGACGTAAATACGTCTTAGATATCGTAATTCATGACGTAGGCATCTTAAGTTGCACGATTGCCACGGGATACTTATTAAATGTCGAATAGATCTTCAAAAACTAAAATATTCCTTTGTGTTTTAGTCTGAAATAAATTGAAAACGTAAATGAAGGAGAATTTTTTTGATGGCTACTATGTAGGAATCACAGGGTAATACTGCTTTATCTATGATTGCCCCAGTTTTATTAGTTTTGTTTATAATTTCTTATTATTGTTATTAATAAGTGAGAGAACTTCAAACCAAGCATCCTACTCTCCAGCACCAACCTAACAGGACTCAGCAAATAAGATATTTGATAAGTATTAGTTCATGGATAACTGCGTCTTAATGTTGAACTGTTAAACTGAAAGGATAAATCCCATTGGGACAACCTAATAGCTTATTAAGTAAAGTTATCCTTCAATATAGTAATTATAAAGTATGTAGCTTCACCAATTCTCTGCATTGTAAACACTTTATTGATAAAAATATTGTTCGTACGGCTAAACGTGTTTTCTTTATATCCCTTATAATTCGTATAATTGAAAGATAAAGGGTATTCCATGCCAGAGTTCTCACACAGTTACACTAATATTTCTAATTTGAGAATATTATAATTGAACGCACTACTTTGTACATAGTTTCAGGATCATTCACTAACGAGGATTCCATATCTCTGAAATACTTCAGCAGCCTATGGCCAAAACTAACACGTCAATGGGAACTTTAAAATTACGCTCTTTGAAGATATCTCAAGGAATCCTTTAACCAATTCTTTACGGAGTACTTCAAGAGATTACACGAAGAATTCCTGTCCTGCATTACCCATTTGCAGGATCATACACGATACGGATACGCTGGGGAAGATGTAGTCTTTGTGGGTTTTCGGGTTATGATCTATCAATACATAGGTCGTTAAATATTTTCGCCACTGGGGTCATGTATATGTAAAAGACATCCATTATTCAATTGCATTATAATCCAAATTTAAATCGAGTGAAACCGCGAGCCACAGTATTTGATCATTTAAATACAATTTATAATATCATAGCGAACTAAGCATAAAAAGTTACCGAGAAGTCCTGGGAGCAAGAATGATACTAACTTTTTACATGTACTAATTTTACTATGTATTTTTTTTTAAATATTGACTCCTTGCAAAAACAAAAACTTATACATGTGTCGAAAGACTATTTTAATACTTACATAAATAAAAGACAGCTCCGCAACCTCCATAATCATATTTTAAAATAAATATAAAATGTACCCTCATCCATCTCTGATGAACTAAGCAGTACAGCAGTTTTTTTTCGGAGATAAAAATAGCATTTATTGTTTTCTCTTTCGTATAACGTGATGGGAACTTAACAAACAGCTGCTGTGTATAGAAAACAAAGAGTTATTAAATCGCGGATATCCTCATTTGAATACCAACAATTAACCTTAACCATTCTGGACATAGATGTACAGAAACGCTTACGCACAGCATTGACGATTCCTATGCAAGCCTTGTACCGTTAAATAAAAATAATTAATTTCCTCAAGAGAGGAGCAAAAAATAAGTTCGTTACTCTTACGAAGAAAACAGGTTTATTTCAGAAAAATATATCGAGTTATCGGGTCAATAACTTTTCAAATGAAGGTTTGATACCTTCATAATGCATTTTTTATGTGCTGAATGAATCAATCAGGAATGTTTCCAGCCGAAGGTATAAGGATCATTCTGATTTGCATTGGTTAAGCTAGGAATCAAGTAGGTACTTCATAAATTAATAATAATTATCCTTCTGAAACTAAAGTATTCAAATGATCTTTTAACATATTTATAAGTTTTATAATTGTGGATTGATAGTTGACTGTAGTGAATAGTTTAAGAGAAGATTGGTTGATTTGTTCAGTAAAAAAAAAAAGATTTTAGACTATACCTTTAACCTACATATTATTATTATTCTCTTACCCAATGTTATCTGTTTATTTCTTATCGGGAAAAAAATTTATATATATAATTTCTTCATTTTTACATTTTATTTTATAGAATACCCCATCCAATCTTCTCTTCATTTATTAGTTTTAGTTTTCATTGCGTCTCAATGTTAAAAATAAAGTTATTGACTTCTCATAGATTCTGTCCTAGCATAAATTACGTTAAATCTTAAAAATTTAATAAAAGCATAAGAATAAATAAGCTCATTATTATTATTGTGCTATACTTGATAGTAACATCATCTATTGTCCATGATCGTTTCTGTTAAGCCGCCTTAAAACAATACCCAAATCATGAAGCGCACAAGCCAGTAAAGTGAAGTTACCAAATATTTCTCCGTTACATAAGGATATTAACACTTTCCCCCATCATTGGTTTTTTTTTTACTTTTGTTTACGGAGCTATTATTCAAAAATGTCATTTGAAGTTCAATAATACCAGTCAATTTGCATTCCTGTATCGATTTCATTCCTCTGTTATGTGGTTTAGTGAGTTAAGGACTGTAAGTCCATTATGAATTGCGAAGATTAAATTTTTCACGAGCAATCACTCTATTTTTTCCTTTCACTTACCAATATATGAACTATATAATAAAGGAAAATGTTGAAAATTTTCGAATCCGAGTTGTCAGTGGAAATGCACGTTTTTGAGGTCCCCTGAGTCCAAATAAAATGGTCTGTGTGCACTCTAGCTCAAAAACAAAAATTCTTACGAAATTGAAATTGCGTATTTAAGGTTTTCATATGGCTGGAATGTTGCAGGAACTTTTTCTTAAAAATCGGCATTTCACCTTATATCATCGATTTAACATATTTTTACAATTTTCTCGAAAACGGCTCGAACTATTTTGATTAAACTCGGTGTATCAGTGTATTTTTAACTGGTCTTTAATACCAGCTAGATATTATCCACATTGATGTTACCTTACAGGGCTTAAATGATCAATGTTTAATATGTCTTCCTCTAAAATACCTTTGATTTGGTTTATTTAAAAAAATTAACTGTCTCTCATTGTTAGGAGTTACGAAAAAATGCTAAATGTGACATTTGAAAGAATTTGATAATTTAATAATGGAGACAAAAGGCAAAAATGTTCATTTAGGTCGAAATTGAATCTCCGGAAATAATAGTCAGAAGGTACACATATAATATATCGTTGGAAAGCGGAGAATGTTGGAAAAAACTATCTAATATAGAAAGTCATAGAAGGCAATGGAAATTCACGACAAATTATAAATAATAATTTGTGAAAACTAATATTATTCCACGGAAATCACGTGTTTCCAAGAAAATTAAATGTAATTTTTTAAATAAATGTAAACTTTTAAAATCCACCGAATCAAGGCAATGGAATTTTTTAATAGACTATTTCATTTTTATTTTCCTACCTATACTAGATAAGGAAAGTATTGCAATCGGGTCAAATTTCCGACATGCGGCTTTCGACGGATCTATCCGTTTCAGAGCCCCCTGAGTCCGAAAAACACATTTTAGCCATTGGTCTGTCTGTCTGTCTGCCAAGATTTTCTCGGGAACTACTGAACGGATTTTGTTGCTTCTTATTTTTTGTTAGGGTTTTGACTACTGATACCTGTGACAGGAATTCGGTGTTCCATGCGCAATAGCTTGCGCACAATAAATGAAAAACATGTTTTTCTATAAACTGAAGCGTAAAAACGGCGTTTGAAAGGTAATGAAATTCCCTACAAAGCCATATAAAAATCGTTCATTTTGGACAATTATTAACGAAGTTACAGCTATTCAATTTCCAATGTAAGATTACGGTTTCATATCCTGGTGTCAGGAAGAGGTGAATGAGAGAATAAAGATGACTAAGTAAAAGTAAGAAAATCTGTTGCCCGCATCACACAATCTTCACTATTGCCTCTACTTTTAACATAAATTATTGTTTGACAATATTAAGGTATGGCAAAAAGTTTTTAATCATCAATATTAGGAAGTATTGAAATGTGTACACTGATCTACCATGCGCCGGTTTACATTGCTTTAGTTTATCAAATAAATCGTACTCAAATCTTGTGTTTGATCAATTTTCAGGAAAACGTATCTGGTTCAATTATTTTTGTTTCTTCATGGACATATGTAAAGATATAAAAAATTTTCTGAAATAGGTAGGAAAGTCGTGTGAGTGGACACACCAGATATTTTTACTTGTGTGAAAGAAGAAGTTAAATATTTCATGGATGTTTAAAACATATGATTATATGTTTAAAACATATGATTATAACCTTAAATAAATTTGCTGGAGTTTAATAATTCTAGATCTGATATTATATTAAAATAATTAGTTTATTTCGTCTGAACTAGTGAATAATTTGATGAATTTTTCCTTTGTGATATCCCAACAGTATCCATTTACAATTAGTGTGACAACTTTTGACCTATCTATGACAGGCAATGCAAATCTCGTAATTCCATTTTAGTAAACTTTGCAATGGAAAATAACAGTTTCATAACTAAAAGTCGTACAATCCATAATCAACCGTTAATATAATAAATAGGATTTTTGTTATTATAATGGTATCAATGATTTGTTATCTGTAAGCTTTAAGCTCTAGCTCGGTTAAAAATTCGCTTCAAAAAAATTATAGTAGTCCAACATTGCCAGAAAATAATTTCTACGCTCAAAGTAGAGCAGTGAAAGTTGTGTGTTTCGCGCACCATATTTTTTAATATATTGCTTTAATTGTTTTATTGTTCTGTTACTGATGGTTGATTACAATATTTTCCACCTACTACTCCAGACTTAAAATACATCAAAGAGATAATACACAACATTTAAATTTATAATTTAAAAAAGTATTACTCAAAAATATGATTATTATTATTTTTAAAATTTTGATAAAAAATAATGATCAGGGTATGATTTTTATAACTTATGATAAAAAATGAAAATAGCTCTTTTTAAAAATCATCAACTGATTTTTAAAAATAATAAATACAAATTTTGATATGGTTTTATTTTTATTTTTGTGATTATCGAATTTAAATCCTGGTTAAAAGTACTGTTCAGACCTTAATAGTGAAAAATTCTACACGAACATGATTTATAAGTAAAATAAACGTTCTTATTGCATTAAACATCTTGTCAGACATTAACTAAACAGAGATCATAACCTTATAAATGAATCTTGGATTCAAGGATACTTTGAAAATGTGCACAGTCGTATCGCCGGAAGTGGAAGAGCTGTTAATAAAAGTCTATTAATATTCAAAAAGCTATAGAAAACTTATTTAAAAAAAATGTTATTGTACGATAGTCCTTATGTGGTACGTTATGCCTTTTCGAAAAAAAAAGTTTTTCTTTCCAATTTTTCAAACTTAAACTGATGATTCCTATGTCTTTGGCCTTAACTTAGTTTTCAACAATGATCTGAACCACAACATAAAATCGATGCTCTCTGCACAGCTACTCTAAAATTTGGAAGCACACTAGGCCTATCTGGAAAGGTTAGTGATGACATAAAATTTAAAATTATTTACTTACAGGAAGAAACAAATAGGACAGTGGCAAGGGTCATCCAGCGCATCATCGGCAAATATCTGCTGGGACTACTTTCATTTCTTCCGCTAACTAAAATCCAGATGTTATTGGGCATTCCATTAGCTAGAACTTGACAAACAGATGTGCAAGGATTAAAAAAATAACAACACTGGAAATACTGAACGAAACCTTTATGTAGATTTCATAAATCACTGCGCGATGATAATCTTCAGCCCACCTCCGGATTCGCTAGCAGGCCGGTTCAAAATCAATTCGTTTAAGAAGTTCCCCTTACCAGTGTTATTAATAGCCACTATTTTCATGGTTTTTATTCGTCACATTAGTTTCATTGGAATCATTACACAACATGGAGAACGCAGGCATCGAAAACTTAGTAAACAATTGTTTAATAACTACATACCATATGATGTTGAAATGTTTGGTGTTACATGGAATGTCAACTTCAACATCTATATGAATAGATTTCTAAGTTGGTTATTCGAAGGACATGCACTGTTTGTATCTATGATATAGTCTGGAATCCTCTCCAATCTGAAGGATGTTTCCGAAACCATAAAATATGATTCGGAATTTAAAAAAAATAATGTACAGGTTAATTACTTGCTACACACATATAATAGCAAAGTGGTTATGTGAACAGTAGTTCTAGCAAAAAAAAAAAAAAAATGTTCTTTCTGTTCTTTATTGTAGTCTCCAAAGATTTTCCAATATATAAATTGGGAAACCAACATCGTTTCTAGGGATACCAGATATCATATTTTTACTTTCACTGACGTATATATTTAATATGTAGTAAAGGTGAAAATTAAAGGTGTAATCGTGAAAATTTTTGAATCTGAGTTTTCAACGGAAATACACGTTTTGGTGTACCCTATGTCCAAATAACCAATTCCCGAAAAATGGTCTGTGGGTCTGTGTGTGTGTATGTTAGCAGTGTAAATCCACCTAATCAAGACAATGACATTATTTTAAAAACTATATCATTGTAATTGTGTGAAAGTAGAATTTCTTTTTTCTCTCTTCATACTTCTATCCACACCTGTCATAGAATTGACAATAAGCAGATGTGATCACATAGTGAAGAAAGTTGTCATTTAGGGATGAGGAAAGAAGAAATAAAATATATAAAATCATTTCATGGATTTATAAAGCATATGTTTATAACCTTAAACACATTTACTGTAGTTTAATAATTCTAGATCCGATATTATATTTAAATAATTAGGTATCAACGTCCGTTTATTCCGAAATAATGTCATATAACTTTTTAGAACATTAAACGTAGTGAATAATTTTATGAATCTTCCCTTAGTGATATTCCAACAGTATTCACTACTATTTCATTGTACTTGTGTGAAAGAAGAAGTGAAATATAAGAATATTTCATAAATACGTTCATAACCTTAAATATCTTTACTGTGGTTTAATAATTCTAGATCTGATATTATATTTAAATATTTAGGTATCTGTCGTCCGTTTATTACAAAAAATCATCAAGTACCCTTTTAGAAAAATGAGCGGTAAGTGAAAGTTGTGTGTTGTGCGCACCAGATTTTATCTGCTTACTAGATATTCATACTGTTATGTTCCACCATTTAGAAAATATAATCGTATTTATTTTGCACAAGTTTATTTCAAGGCTTGAGTTCACATTGGCCTCTTGGGCGCATGCGCCATTTAATCACAAATCTAAAGAACAAAATAGCCAAGAATCGACAAGATTCGAACTAGTGATATTTAAAAAACCTCTGCCAAGTAAAGTAGTGTATATCCCTCTACATTTCCATTGATTTAACAATGACAAAGAAATCTTACTGTTCTAATTGTTTATATCGAGAAACTATTCGGAAAATTCGCTTTTTTTAAACACTTCTGCGTCGCCGCCGATTGAGATAAACTATCTGTGGTACAATTTTTCCATATTTATCTGTTTATAACAGAGAGTCCTAAAATAAATAAAATACTGATCGATACCAATACATATTTCAATTCTCTTATGTTTCACTAATATAATTGTATTTGAAAAAGGAATAAAATAGTGAAAAAAAAATTAATGAATCGCATTAAGCTAAAAAACTTATCAGTCCTTGGTACAGACCCCTTTTTATCAAATTATTAATATCCGACTGAAATTTCGTAAATAGCTTCATCTCATTGTAACCTACAAATATTTTATTGACGAAAACTCGGGATTGGGGTGTTTTCAATCTGAGTTCGGCAAAGTTTGTTTATTTAATTAAGTACTAAAAACTCGTAAGTAACCATTTGCTTTCCACTTGGATCGTAAGATAATTTGATCAGAAAATCGATAAAAAATGTGGCCTACAAAAATATTGGGCCGTCCGGCCTATAGAATCTCTTTATTTTGACAATTTAGGTCACGCCAAACGGCTCTATATTTTTAAAGGCCACTTTTTTCTCAAGTCATCTTACGATTCAAGTGGAAAGCAAGTAGGTATTTACGAGTAGTTAGTTCCTAATTAAATAGACAAGGTTTGCTGATGTCCAGATTAAAAACTTCCCAATTCTGAGAATTTTCGTGAATAAAATATTTGTAGGCTATGGCGAGATAAAGCTATTTACAAAGTTCCAGCCGGATGTTAATAATTTGTCAAAAAGGGGTCTGTAACACGGACCAGTACTATAATAAAAATGGTATCGTCGGTTTATTCGCAAAAATTAGTAACTCTTCATAACCTTAAATTGTTATGAATTTTCGCTTTTTGAAATCAGAAAATTGTGCGCTTGCTGTAATTACATTCAATACAAACAAAGATTCGTGTCATTTTAATGCACTTACTGTATTGTTTTTGTTTCGATAAATAAGATCGAAATTCACAAAAACGTTCTTTAAAGTTCAGCTGTATCAATAATTGACTAGTTACTTTTGACAATGAACCAACGACATAATCTTTCATTCCATGTGTTCAATGGCTATCACATTTCACAGCTTTTATATTCTTTGAAAAATACATAATTGATAATAAAAATTACTATTTTCTTCACTGTTTAATGTTGAAGGAAAGTTGGAGACTACCGAAAAAAATGGTGCTGTATTAATCTTATCGAATTACATTTCCGCCTCTTTGAATGCAAGTCAATTAATAGTAGTTATTAATATAAAATTTATAGACGGAATAAAATGTTTATTAATATAATAAGTATTTTATCATCATGATATATAATACAAAAACATAAGTACCTGGCTTATCATGGTTTATGTACTTTAAAAGCCTTCGTCGATTTCACTCTTACTTCCTCGACTTCTTTTCCAGGTAGCCCTATCGTTAGTTACACAAAAAGTTACTCCAACCGGAAGACTTATCAAGAGATACTTCTAGTAGCTCTGTTTTAATCTCAAGTACTTAGTTTGGATACATCGTGCTCAGTGGTTTGAAAATATACCGTTAAACGAAATCTGTCGTTTCAATTTTTATTCCGTATCATATAAGTATTTCTTAATATAGCTTCTGATTTATAAAGGAGGTATGAAAAATTGTTAAAAGGAGAAAAAAAAATATTGAGTAAAGTTGGCCGAGGGTTGCAGCCACAGCGTGCAACACAAATAAGCTGTACTTATCTTAATGCTTATCATACTACTTATCATAATACTTTACATAAATTTCCATGCCTTATCAGTACTTATATTTTAATTTAACTGAAAAATCGAAATTTTTATACACTTCAGAGAATTTATTTATTTATAGATTAAATATATGTCGTTATCTTTTTGTAGTAGTCAATCGAGTGGTGCTTTGTATTTCCTTAGCCTTGACGGAGGCCTGAAGAATGATATAAATTATTTGTTAATTTTTATTTTTGTTGCTCACTGCACTAGCGGATCCAGGATTTAATTTAATTTTGGGAGTGGGGGCTTCAGCCCGGAAGATTTTTTTTTCATATATATAACGATAATTATGATTATGATTCTTGAAGTCATATTAAATGTAATTAAACGAGCAATAATACTTTACATACTTACATGACATAATTTTTTTATATTTTTTACTATAAAACGTGGTTACACTTTACCATTTTTGGGGGGGGGGCGCTTCATCCCGAAATCCACCCCTCCCGTTAATCAGTCTGTGGCTCATTGTCACTGCAATCTCTGAGTAACTTCGCAATCATATTATATACATTTAACTATATATCCATCATTAATAAAAAAAAGAGGTTCTTTTGTATATGGATTCAAATTAATAAAATCTATTCACAATTGCTTTCCTAATTTGAAATTTCGATGATTGGAATAATAGTTATATCTTCTATCTGACTTTTTTTTTTTTTTTAACTCGTTTGGTTTGAGTTATGCGAAGGTTTGTACAAACAAAAGTTTGCATCCCAGCTCCTACGACTTGCACCAGCTTCTCGTTCTTTCAAAAGTACCGGTATTCAGAAGTATTCGACTAATAACCTTTTAATTAAGGCAAGCTGAAAAGTATTTTAAAGTTTCTGAGCCAACATCGATGAGCAAAGAAGAAGGTAAAAGCCACATTACATTTTATATTTTAAAATTAGGTATGAGTAAATAATTTATTGCCAATAGAAAGATATTTAAAAATAGTTAATTATGTATTAGTGCTCTCGATCAATCTCCGCTGGCTTTAGTACCAGTGATGCGGTTGAGAGAGTAGCGCAGGGTTCTCCTGGAGTTCCCTCGCCTGATTGTAAATAGTGTATATAGGTATGCATGTGTTTTTTGCTTAGTTTTAATTTTCTTATTTTTAGGTTATTTTATTTTATTTATTGTATATACTTTTTGATTATTATTTATTGTTATTTTGCTTCTATTTATTTTATATTTTTTGTACATATAGTGTGAATGTTATCCTACCTCACTAAAACTAATGTACATATGACAGATTGTTGTAATACTCAATAAATAAATCTTAAAAAAATTAAGTATCAACATCCCCACATGTCAAAATGAAACGGAAGACCCCCAATAGACGACTCATACTACTTTACTCACTTTTTTCCCAAATCTTCAAAACTAGGACTGAGACATAAGCTAATTACGTACCTATATTTACTTAAACCAATATGGAATTACTCTTCACAAATATACGGTATAGCTAAAAAGACCCACTTACACAAGCTTTCCAATCAAAACATTACGACTTATAACTAAAGCACCTTGGGACGTAACAAACAAAACCCTACATACCTGCCTACAGTTGACCAACAAACGAGAACTCTTTACGAACGATTTCACAATCATTTACACGGACATACTAACATACTAATCAGAGATATGGCTTCAGCTGACATCTTCCTTAACAAACCATCGTAATTGATTCAAGCTAGGAAAGAGGTACTGCTGGGTGCTATCCTTCCCCATTTAATCTTTCCTTAAAAGTTATCCTTTATTTCGTTGCTTTAATCAGACCATCTACTGATTGTTAACAGTCGTCGACAGGTGCAGTTAGAAAAAAAAAAAAGTATCAATTTATATGAATATTAAAATATGTGATCTTCCCACTCACACAACTATCCCTACAGCTTTAGCTGCATTGAAGTTTCCCATATTTCTTTTTTTTAATTATAAAGAAAAAAATTACTTTTTATCATACATTTTTTCCTGCTTCTTCTAGGGGTTGAACTATATCAAACTTTCAAAGACTTTCATGAGAAGATTTTAGCCAAATTTTATCAAATTCGTTCAACCCGTATTGACGCTATAATCTACAAAAACAGCAGGTTTTCGGTTACTCTACGCACTGCGCCCATCGTGTTTCTTACAAAGCCTTCGGTTCGCATTGTATTATTTTATATCTTAAACGTTCGATCAAAACCAAGATAATATCCATTGAGTTCGCGGTGCGGGACAGAACGATAGAGGTGCCCCCACCCTGTATCGTCCACCCGCAGCACAGTCCTTCGCCACCAGCCTTCCTGAAGACATGATCATCCTGGTACTGTTGGCAATAGTCGTTGTCCTCTTCGTCTATCTCCTTTCTCCAGATGCAAAGACAAGGAAGTGTGGTCAGCAGATTCCAGGCCCTAAGCCCTGGCCTTTGATAGGAAACCTATTCGACATGGAAGTCGGTCACAGTAAGTCACAATCCTCAAACGAGACTCAATTGCTTCTTATAAAAGTAAATTCTGAAAAACTAAGTTATCACAAAAAGAAACTTCTCATTGCTCTATAATAGTTCCGGATAAACCGATGGACATGGTTATGCATTTGTTTCCAAAAACACCTATGCATACCGGTACAATACAACACCATAAATATTTTAATTGTTTTTCTCATTAGCTTGGACGAGCACTTTTTTAATGTTTTTAAATTTCATTACCTCGTTTTTCTTTCTTAATTCTGTCGGTTCAAAAAGTACTAATTCGACAAAAGCAAACACAAAATTATTTCTATTTGATTACTAAAAACCACATTTTTAAAATATTAATTAAAATCCTACTTTATGACATAAAAAAAAATAAAAACTGATATTCAGTTAAAAAATCAAAATCGTTATCCAATAAACCTCTTTTGTTGTTTTAATAACAGAGGATATCTCACAGCACCAAAATTCAATCACTGGAATAGACTCAGAACTAAAATTTTTGGCTCTTTTCGAGCATGCCATAAGAGACAAGAGGATTATTTTTATATATATATATATATATATATATATATATAATCATCTTGTCTCTTATGGCAAGCTCGAAAAGAGCCAAACATTCAGTTCTGTGTGTATTCCAGTGATACTTGAATTTTGGTGCTATGAGATATCTTCTGTGATTGAAACAACAAAAGAGGTTTATTAGATAACGATTTTGATTTTTGAACTGAATATCAGTTTTTATTTATTTTTTTTATGTCATAAAGTAGGATTTTAACTAATATTTTAAAAATGTGGCAAGTTTTTTAGTAATCAAATAGAAATAATTTTGTGTTTGCTTTTGTCGAATTAGTCCTTTTTGAACCGACAGAATTAAGAATATATATATATATGTATGTATATTATTAATTCTGTCGGTTCAAAAAGGACTAATTCGACAAAAGCATATATATATATATATATATATATATATTAATAATACTGAAAATTGATAATAAATGAAATTGATAAGAAATATATAAACCCCTCGCTCCCTCAAATTTTGAGAACATAAATTTCCAAATGTAGAATATTTTTTTATTTTTTTATTTTAAGAAGGGGGTGAAGGCGAGGGATTAACGCCAGAGTTAAAAGACCACCTGAGCTCCAGAACGCGAACTCGTAATTTTTATTGTCTCCAATTTCGGTTAACAGGTTGTCGGGCTACGCGCGGTGCAGTGCACACACGTTAGCCCGCTCGGCCACTCCGCCCCCAAAAGGTTTCCGGTACCGGGAATCGAAGCCTCCTGTGTGAAAGCCAGACATCCTAGCCACTTGACCATACCGGATTTTACCAGATGCAGAAACTAAAAACGTTGCAAATTGTAGCACAGCAATTTTATCTAAATAGATAACCCTAAATGATAAACAAAAAGCCTATCTTAGCAATATTTCCGCATGGAAGTTTTTCCTGACATAATGACCTTGATGAAGACCTGCATGGTTGAGCCTAAACGTAGGCCTAATAGATAGTTTCCACCATTTTAAGTTTTTTCATCACCGCCACCGGGCCATCTCTTTCCTTATAACAAAAATGATTTTAGGAATCATTATTAAGTTTTCGATAAAATAATTCTAAAAAATTTATTTCTCTGTCTGCATGAACGATCGATGATGTGATAACACAAAAATAAAGCTGATGGTAATGTAGATCTTCGAAGTTGATCCTGTGGCGGCCAGTGACTTCGATGCCAAATCTAAAAGAAATCGAACCGTCTCACAGTGGAGTGAGCGTACAAGGTCCTGGTTGGACATTGGTACAAAAACAAGTGTTAAAATTTGAAAGTTTGAATGCAATAGTGACAAACTAGTCTCGTTTCTCCTCTAAACCCAACAAATGTTAACGAAATTGTCACATTAATAATGCCTTGATGTGAGATAATAGTTGACAGAAGAAAAATCATCATTGACACTTTTAGAACTGGTTGGCCTGTATGTTGTTTTTCTTAAATCCAATGGTTTGTTTTGTACAAAATAAATTACGATCAGTGAGTCCTAAGACTGGTGAAACATCGGTTTTCAACAATATATAGGATTATTAAGACGCTTCTAACTATTGTAAAACTAGATGGACTTTGTTGTTATCAAAGGTTTGAACTTCTAAAAACAGTTTTCAGATCTTGTCCTAATCTATCATCTCCGATCTTATTGATGATTTAACACGGGGAAACTTTGAACTTGGAGTGACTACTATTATTTTATCTTTAAATATTTTTGCAATATTTATTTGAAGTGGAATAATTATATTTGAAAGACGTTCCTATTTAACATAAAATTATAAATCCTATTATTATAAATAAAAATTATTATGCTAGAGAAATATGGACAAAAAATATTTTATTTGTACAATATTTGTCAATACATATCAGAATAGAACTATATTCCAAGTTTCAAAATATTTCTAATATTTAAATTAACATAAAATTTCACTACTAATAGTCAGTTGAGTCAGTAGGCAGGTAGATCTTTTCTAGCAATTTAGCAGGTCAAAAGTTGAAAAAGTCCACTGTTGAAAAATTACGAAATATTTACAAAATAACTGAATATTTTAAAGATTATTAAAGATTATTTAATTAAAATTTCACTTGTTATATTTTTCTTGAGACTTTTTATAATAAATAGATTGTAATTAGACCTTCATATGTTATTAACCAACTTTATGATATAAATTACTTTTGTTGGAATCTTTTTCTTTCTTTCTAAAAAACTACAAAATTTTACTATTGGTAACTTCAAATATTTTAAAATTATAAAATATATTAAACTACTTAGCTTATAGCAGTGGTCATCATATCCCCTCTCCCCCCTCCCACCAAAGGTCCCCCCCCCCTCACACCCAAGATATCTTGTTGCTCACCTTTATTTAAAAACAGAGTAAGCGAAGGTAGAATTAAAAAAATCGTAGATCATACACAATTACACTTGCTGCGGTCTGTTCTATGTTTTCCTATTTTCCTTAGTATGAAACTTCATTTCGGAAATTCATAAGCACGCCAAAATGTGTCCCCTCTAAAATTCAAAAACCCGGTATAATATGCCCTTCTCAAAAAGTTCGTTGGCGCAAGTCGCGCCATCAAACTCTCTTCTGGACACCCTTGGCATATAGAGAATTTGCTGTGCATGGTCAGAAGCAATGCCATAGAACTGAAGCAATCCTAGGATTCCACAGTTTTTCCTTTTTTGCATACCAAAGTTCATTGAGAAATAGCTAATAGAGTAGCTAATTCATGCCGCTTGATAACCACACTGTGAGAATTTCTTTGAGACCAGCCTGAACTTGAGAATTGGTGGGTCAATTGCTGAAATTTCTATTGCTCCTGCTAACCAATTTGCATATTTGGCCTATAGGGTACTATAATTATAATTTCTCTGTATCAAATCCCATGTGTGTAGAAAACAATAACTCACTAAATTCATAACGTTCTACTATTCTATAATATGTATCTGTTTGTTTATTTGCTTACAGCACTTATATATAGCATTTCCAAGTCAATTTCAACCTTTTCCAAGTCAAATTCAACCTTTTCCAAGTCAAATTAAACTTTTTCCAAGTCAAATTCAACCTTTTCCATTTCAAATTAAACCTTTTCCATTTCAAATTCAACCTTTTTTTATTTATTTAATTATCTTTAATTTTTCGATGTGTGGGTCTGTTATCATATGAGTAGTTTTTGAAAATAACCTCCTTTTTAAGATTACGTGACTGATTTTCGAATTATTTAAGTTTTTTTTAATTATTCGATATAAGGGTGTATTTTTATGTTTCCCGATCAGTAAATTTTGAAAATGACATCCATTTAAGTTTACGGCACTGTGTTTTGATTTATTTAAGTTTTTAGAATTTATCCAATATAAAGATCTACTTTTATGTTTCTGGAGCCGTAGATTTTGAAAACGACCTCCATTTTAAGATTAGGCCACCGCGTTTCGACTTAGTTGAGTTTTTCGGATATTTTTCATATGAGGGTGTATTTTTATGTTTCCGGAGCTGTAGATTTTGAAAATGACCTCCATTTTAAGATTAGGCCACCGCGTTTCGACTTATTTGAGTTTTTCGGATTTTTTTCTTATGAGGGTGTATTTTTATGTTTCCGGAGCTGTAGATTTTGAAAATGACCTCCATTTTAAGATTAGGCCACCGCGTTTCGACTTATTTGAGCTTTTCGGATATTTTTCATATGAGTGTGTATGTTTATGTATCCGGAGCTGTAGATTTTGAAAATGACCTCCATTTTAAGATTAGGCCACCGCGTTTCGACTTATTTTAGTTTTTCGGATATTTTTCATATAAGGGTGTATTTTTATGTTTCCGGAGCTGTAGGTTTTTGAAAATGACCTCCATTTTAAGATTTGGCCACCGCGTTTCGACTTATTTGAGCAGATTTCCCCCATTTTGTAAATGACCCAATTTCAAGTTTATGCCACTGTGTTTTGGAATATAAAAGTTTTTTTTTTCACTTTTTCGTTATAAGAATCTACTTATATGTTATCCGAGACGCATTGAAATTTTTCTAATCTTTAATATTTAAATTTATCTAATATTTAAGCTCCATTTTATGATTAAGCCGCTGCATCTCGAATAATTAGGCTTCATTTTGGATTTTTCCAATACAAAGTTTCATCAATATGTTTTCGAGTATGAATAAATAAATAAATATTATGAAGCTAAAGTTAAATTAACCACAGAATACAAACTAAAAAGCCGAAAAGCAGCTGGTAATAAATTTAACCTTCCGTATTCAGATTTTTCAGCTAATTGTTCGAAATCTTATAATTTTGTGACAGGAGACCACAACATTAAAAAAGATAACTAAAATTAAATTAAAAATGAGACAATACATATTTTATTTATTTTGATTAGATATTTTTATTTATTTATTGAAAAATAAATTAATCCTTCGTATTTTGTTTTTTATTCGAAGGAAAAATCAAAAACACTTAAAAAAACCGAAA